GAGAAGTTCCACCTCTGAGCCTCACACACTCGAACCTTCCCATTAGGTTCTTTCCTTCTTCTCTTATCTAAGCATTCATACTTCAGTGACTTCTCTGTTCTCAAAGACCAGAATTGTGCTATTCATTTGACCTTTACTGTCTTATAGAACAAATGATTTTTATATATTATTTATTGAAACCAAACCAAGATTTACACAGGAATCTCTCTTATGTTCACAACAGTACAGAAATAAGATGTATGGTGGTTTGAATAGGAATAACCCCCATAGGCTCATAGATTTGAATACTTGGTCACCAGGGAATGGCATTACTAGGAGGTGACCTTGTTAGAGTAGGTGTGGCCTTGTAGAAGGAAGTACGTCACTGAAGATGGGCTTTGAGGTTTTGAATGCTCAAGAAAGACCCAGTGTTTCTCTCTTCCTGCTGCCTGCCTGCAGAGGACAATGGAGTTGGCCTGATCTAGCTGCCTTGAGATGCATGTGTCATAGGTTTTTCAGGTTAGAGTCCGTGGCTTCTGGGACACAACATGCCTTCCAGTTCCTGAGAGACCAACACACTCCCTTGGGCAGCAAAGTGTTCACATTGCTTTGTGTTTCTCTGCATGTTTCCTTAGTAGTCAAGGAAGTATGGAAAGTTGACAGGACAATTGGTTCTTAGACATTATCTCATGTACCTTGTATGGCTTGCAAACATCATTGTATCCTGGCAATTACAGCTGTATTGATACTGTCAAATGCCATTGTAATTTGTTTCTGACAAAGGTATAAAAAGTCTGATTTCTCTCAGTAAAATGGTCACAGCCTCAGTCTTGCTGTGGCCCCTCCAGTCCAAACCTGGTTTCATTATTTGTGGCCATATCAGGCGACCTTGGTCAGGTTAGTAAGTGAGGATGCTTACATCTGCCTATCCAGAGGAAGGACTCTCTGCTCCCACTCTAGCACCATGTCTGCCTGTGTGCTACCATGTCCTGCCATGATGACAATGTACTAAACCTCTGAACCTGTAAGCCAGCCCCAGTTAAATGTTTTCCTTTGTAAGAATTTCCATGGTTATGGCATCTCTTCACAGCAATGAAACCCTAACTAAGACATATATTAATATCTTCATTTGAAAGAGGAGGAAAATATGATTCTGAGTGGTTAGAACAAAATTTGCCAAAATCACTTAGCTAGTAAATAAGTCTTTAAAACTGTATTCTCAACACTGTGCGTTCTCTATCCTATACCTTGTTTTGTTTATACATTTTACTCATTCAATGAACTAATGTGTATCAAACTAGAACTCACAAGTAGGCCTTGTGAGAACTCACTACAATAGTATAAAGCAGGACTAAGAGGGAGAATAAGTGAAGCCATAGTCAATGATGAAAGGATGAAGGAGGGAAGAGGGTAGATTCAGGAATGATTATGATGCCTTCAGTCAACACCATGGACCAGGAGGATGGGCTTAGCTAGGAGGGCATACTTTTCTACAGTGAACATGCTGTGTAGAAGTGCCCATTACATCCACTAGAGATGCTCATGAAGGCCAGAGGTACAGTGGTTAAGAACATGCTCTTTGGTGTCAGCAGTCTTTGGTCTTCAGTTTGTAGGACTTTGGGCAAGTTTACCTGAGGGTCTCAAGTATTTAAAAGAGGAATCACAGTAATGCCTACCTGAAAGAGTTATTGGGAGGACAGAATTAAACAAGTTTCAGAAGATGGCTAATGCAATGCCTAGAATAGATTGACTACTCAATACTGTGAGGGTCTCTTTGTTTTTGTTTTACTAAAAATACAAATAATAACCATACATGTGACATTAGGATGGAAGGTATCTGGGTTAAAAAAAATGACTTTAGCTATTCTTAGTATATAAGCAATGGCACTGGCAAGTACACAGAGTAGATATAGCCATGTAAATGCTTCAAAGCTAGGAAGCTAGAGTTGGTGTGAGTACCTTTGAACAAAGTGTGGATGATGAACTTGGGAAAACTGTTCTCCAACTGGAGATGGTTACTAGCATGCCGAAAATCAAGACCATTCTGTTGTTTTATTGTTCAATGCATTGAGAAATTTCTCAGTGTTTAAATACTGGGAACTAAATTCAATCTAACAAAGAAATATAACACATGCATAGCTGGATCATGGCTTGTTAAGTTCTTAACAGTGGCCTTTGTCACAGAGGGAGGAGGAGGCGGTATAGCTCCACACAACACCAGTGCCAGAGCAGCGGACAGAGAAAGAGTGTAAAGATCAAGAAAGGCAGAGGAGAGAAAAGGCAAGTTGAGGGAAGGAAGGGTGGAGAGGGAAGACTAGAGGAGGGGAGGGGAAGAGAGAGGAGGAGAGAGAAGGAAAGGGGAAGGGAAATAAAGAGAAGGGAAGGGAAAAGAGAGTGACAAAGGGGAGGGGAGGGGGAGAGAGGAAAGGAAAATAAAGAGAAGGGAAGAGAGGGGAGAGAAGAAAAGGCAAGAGAAAAGGGGAAGGGGAGACCAAAGAAGCTGAGCATAGGAGCACTTAGGGAAGAGAGAGTCATAAATATCACCAAGGTGGCACCAAGATTCCTGTGGTCATAGCATGTCACAGAAGCCATTCATACTTGTGACCTCCTTTTCAAACAGCAAATAATTACTACCAGGCAGAAGGGACCTAATTCTCAGGTCATCCAGGGCTAGATCCAAGATGAAAAGCCCCATGTGAAAGAAGGTCCACATGTCCTTGAAAGGACTCTGCATAGCCGGTTCCCTTGAACCATGAGCAGGGGCACTGACTTCCAGCTCAACAGTCCCCTGGACAGAGCCAGGTAGGAAGTCAGAAAGCTTGTCCCATCCTCCGTACTTATGAGGAATTAGTTAATCAAGATATGTTGAGAAGAAACACAAAGAAAAACAACACTCTAACCACCAGTAGATTCTAAGGTCTTTTATTCTATCCATGTAACTACCGACAGTATTATTATCTATATTGTTAACATTGATATTTATACTCTTCTGAGAGCCAGGAATGCACTGAATACAAAATTATGACTTAAAACCAGGAAACCACCTCATAAGTTTAAGAACACATTATGATTGACATTACAAAACTGGCTTAATACAGTGTGTAGTTAAGGCATATCTTAAAAATAAAGCAATTTTTTATCTTTATTAAAAAAAAAAAACCAGACTGCCCTCCCCATATCATCCTATAATCTAATGACTTTCAGTTACAGGATGATATAGGGAGGCAGAATGCAGAAACATAATGTCATTTATCCAAGGTCACTTGCTTAGTGACTGAATCAAATTTAGAATTCCTGACTTCTCATTTCACAGTCAGCCCATGAAGCTCTTCCCTGTGTAGAGTACAGGGTTAATTATTCCTTTGAAGGAATTGATAAGGGAACTGAGACACAGACCACACATGGAGTCAGGCAGGGGACTGAGCCTGGCACAAGGCAGCATTATCCCAGAGTGGCTATCAGAGGCCAGCACAAAAGGAGCAGGCCAGGTGTGCTCCAGGGGAGAGGGGTTCCAGAGCAAAGACCACGGCACTCAAGACAACAAAACAATAACCAACACAACAGTGGTGCTTAGAGTAGGCCTGTACACTGCACATCCATAAAATTATACAGACGTAAATCCCAAACTTCAAAAACAAAACATACATTTTCTTAAATAGTAACCCATAGTTATAAACAATTGCTTTTTCAGCTGTTACTTATTAAATAACAACAACTTTACAAAGCATAGTAAATAACCAGAACTGAATACACACACACACACACACACACACACACACACACACACACACACAAATCTCCTGAGTCACCAAAACAAAGATCACAGAATATTTTACCCTGAGTAATTCATGTAACACAGGCAGCCCAATGTGTGGCCCACAGTAGGCTTTCCAATAGTAACACCATGGTTATCTCATGCGCAAATTCTTTTACATAGCATTTTTATTCAGCTTCTTCTCATAAAAGATTGAAACAGAGTGGGAATAGTTATAGACAGATGCTTAAGAGAATATATAAAATTATCAGACAAAAAATTCAAATATAACTGAGTTCATTTTGTACAAGGATTAATAGACTTCTAACTTCCTGGAGGTTCAAGAGATAAGGGCTGTATTGTAGCACAATGTGATCCTTACAAAGATACAGGGTCATCTAGAGTTGTTGTGTCTTCTATTGAAAACAGCCAGAAAATACTACAATTTTAAAAATTATCAAAAATTTACATAAAAGTTTTGGAAGAGAGAACTTACAAACCAGTTCTCAGACTGTGAAAGTCCTCATCCTGAGACATCAAGTTCACTAACATCCTGTATAATAAGAAGAAACGTGGGAGTCAACTGTCTCTCCCACCCTGTAGAAGAAACAAAGCTCTATTGGTTTTCTTTACATCTTTGATGAAGTTTTTCAGTGATATCATAGCCCCAGGACAGCTCTTTGAAGGGAGTTTTCTGTTGGGTGTGTTTGGAGGCCAGGAGAGGAGAGTAAGAACAGAAGCCCCGAGTGCACTGTACAGTTTAAACAGTGTCTTCAAGTCCTGCCTTCCACAGGGTGGTCTTTCTTCTGAGCTCCCAAGAAATGAGAGAAGGATGTAGGCAACATGTAAACATTGATCACTGTGACCTTGGAGAAGGCACTTCAGCTCCTACTAGTTGGTGGACACTACCCTTTCCAGATTCATAGTCCCATTCCTTGCTCTTTGTTTTGACAATGCCAAACAATGTCTAGAAACTAGTCATCAAGTGCTGTTTTCAGTGACAGACGTTTATTACAATAATCTTCTGACCAACAGAAACAATCTATTTCAAAGAAACATTTATTTTCTCATTCCCAGAAGGTCTCTTCGTAGGCTCAAGGCAATCATGGGATTGCCTTGTAAACTGTCATGTAAGACAGGTTTTAAATATCCTTGAGTGAGGAAGTAGGGTAGGATCTGCCTTTGGTCACGTCTCCTAGAGTTGAACTTGATGGACTCATCTCTCCCAAGAAAAAAACCTGTATCCTATGCACCCTCCGAGTGGAATTCACAGAGGCACCTGGTTCACAGCGCTACTGTGAGATCTTCAGTGGGCACAGAATCGACCAGGAGTTAGGTGGACAACAATCAGTTCCCCGTCATTTATCTGGAGGTCTTCACAGGAAGTGTCAGGAGCATCTACAGTCAAGTAAACTATATCTTTGTAGGCCAAAGAAGCTACCACAGTGAAGTCAACCCTTTGACCATTGTTCATCATGGGCATAGAGATGGGACTTCGACCCTTACGGAAATGAAGGTTGATCTTGACCTCCTGGAAAAAGGAGCCCTTCGCGTAGATGAGATAAAGCCCATCACAGGTGATGGCGATTGAGTTGTTCTTCACCTCCATGGTTTGATACTCATTCCTGGGTGGGCTGATGAATAGTCTCCCATTCTCACATCCTAAAAATAATTGAAAATAAGATTATTCTTAAGCAAAATATGAGACAAGAATCTTCCAGCACAGCTAGATCTGGTGAAGAAAAACTAATCGAGAAGGAGAATTTGGAAGGAAAGCAAGGGAGCATTGTGGTATACCAACATCTGGAACCTGCTGTACCCACAGACAGAGTGGAGAGGTTATAGCCATTGTCACCTCGGATGTGTGGCAGGAAAGACAAGTTCCAATTTTCCCTGATTTTTTCAAAAACAAGAAATGATGGCATCTTCAGTGTTTACTTTCCAGCTGAGTGGATAGACTAGAGAGCAAAAGTTAGACATGATGGGACAACAGTCACTGCCTTGGTCCTGCCATTCCTTATTACCTTGACTCAAAGCAACTTCACTTAACCATTTCCTACACCTTCCCACCTGAGCACAAAATACAAATGCTCCACATGCCCCCGGGAACCAGACTCACTGATGGCATTACTAGCGGTCTTTGCCAGCAGTCAAGGAAGCTTAGTAATGCAGCCAAGCACAGGGTGCTTGTGGGATGGACGTGGGCTCGGTCCCGGGGAGCAGGGAGAAAGAGCCCAGGGAAACAGCCATGTTTCTTGCTTCTTCCTTCTGCCTCCTATAACTAGCATTTCTTGGAAGGTAACTTGGGAGAGTCAGTGCCACAGAGAGAGCAAAAGAGGAGGAAGAAGAGGAAGAGGTGGGTGAGGATGAGGAGGAGGGAGAATAGGACAAGCAGCAGCTTTAGTGGTTTTGTGCCTGGCCTTTCCCAAGCAAGCCCAAAGCCTGAGTTTCTTGTAGTTCTGCATCAGCCTGAATAGCATCTTGAAGGGCTAAGCAACTGCATTTTATTCACCTACTCTGGCTCATGCTCCTCAGTGATAGGAACTAACAGGCCCCCAGTGCTGCCCCCAGTTCAATAATTCTTACTTTGTATCAGACCCAGGAGCTAAACTTTGAACAGAAAATAAGAATGACTTATTAAGACAAAATATACTTCCTGTTCAGCTCAGAGAACTTAATAAATATTCGAAAACTCATACAGAAACTTCCAATGGTTGGTAGAAATTAAGGACGCAAATGATAATAATCTCTTGATTAAAGTATCAGTTTTTCTTTATATATATATTCCCCCAGCTCTCATTAAGGTATTATCATGTTACAGAGTAGAACTGGCAGGTATCTTAAGCCAGCCTGCCTTAGAATCCTCAGATGAAAACAAAATGAAATTGCTACCCTAAAAACATTTCTAGGAGGATTAAGAAAGGCACATTAAGTACAGAGACAGGAACTGCTTTGGTTCTAATGCCATTTTTCCCTGAAAATAAAATAATATTCAGACTCCAACAATTTGAGAATACAACACTTGCCTAAGAGAAATGACAGATTCTGTGTTCTAGGAAAATTAAGACACCAAAGAAAAGAGCCTCGTAAAAGCACGGATATGAGGCTTTGGAGATGGCTCTGTTCGTGAGCTGTCT